CCTTTATTTCTCAATTCCTATTAAACTTTCTTTTTTTGAAAATCACTAACATTATCTATTAACGGTATATGAATATTAAAATACATCAAGACACGATACTCAAACAACAGTCAGTAAAGTATGCTTTTCCAGTAAAGTGGCCACTTTTAACTGATATTACCAGCTGCTTGTCTTTGAGCAATTTAACTGTGTGAAAACAACTTTTGACAAAATTTATGCAACGCGGTTATTTTCAACAATTCTATTATTTGCATTTAAGCTACTTAAGGTGCTGCTATTTTGAAAATTCTTTGTACACTACATACCCTGTCCCTCAGCTACACCAGTCAGTGTTCTCCACGAGGAGTTTTAACAGGGTGCCAGACCATGTTATCTGAAAACTGTCTTGTTAAAATTGTCAGTGCCCTGTTATGAAATGTCCGATTGTATATGGTAACACTTCAAAATTCTCATTCTTTTGAGAAAACTATCAGCTTTTATTTTAGGAAAACTAAAAAAGGTTATGTAATTTTTATTCTTTAGTTAGCCAATCTTAGTTCAAGGATTAAATAGTAATAATTATGACATTTGTAAATGACGAATTTTGAAATTTACATATATGAAACCTTTGTGATTGTATTAGTGATTTGAGTATTGTAATAAAAAATGTATAATATGCATATGTAATTGTACAATAGATTTTTTTTTTTCCATCTTTCATGCCAATGATCCATGTTACAATTTCAGTGAAACTATCTTGGCCATGTTTAATTTTCAAACCGTGAAAATGTTCAATATTCATCATTGAAAACAAAAACTTTAAAATGCTTCACCAATGGGTCACACATCAAAGCAAGAAAAGTCCTCCAACGTGGTTGTCCTTTTTTAAGGACGGCCAGCATAATTTCACAAACTTGCGCCAACAAATAAACTGCAATCCGTCAGCATACAGAAAATTCAAGAGACTGCTAATGCTAATGAATCATAATGAATAAGTCAAACGACATTGATCAATTTCTCCTGGCATTAATTGCTGGTCATCCAATATATTGGTTATATACTCACCTTTGCTATGATACGGGGCATTTTGTATCTGTAAAACTGGTCAGTAACATTGCGGTTGACATTGAGCGCCATCTTGGTTTGCTACTGGTAGGACTTAATCTAGCTTTATGTTTATTTGTCTTCGTACTCCTTGAATATTTTGCCTTTGGATTAGTTGGGCGATGATTGTTGTAATGTGTGACATTCATACACCTATGTGGGCTTCTCGTAAGATGATAACAAGGAACGCAGTGTACCTCTACAGGGCTCACCAATAAGTCTACAGGCAAAACAGGTTTATCTTATGTAAGTAATCACAAGTAACATCACAAGTGCTAACAGTAGCATGCAATGACAATACACTAATGACTTGACAATTCATTCCCACGAGTTTTATATTTCAATCTATTCTATGAAATGTTCACCCTCGTATCTGCAATCCACAAAATGATGTCAATCACCTCTACATCTAACACTGTAAACCGGTAATGTAAACACTAAGAATTTTCTTGATTTGGTGTATAAGAAAATTCAAGCGAATTAAAAATGATACGCCATGTTCTTTTTATCATTATGAGTTCATGCCATCAAGACAGAAAAGTGCTATGGGGATAATTTGTTAATCATTTCCTTAATTAAATTTCTACTCAGTCTACAGTGAATTACAAATAATTTGTGCAAGATGAGTAATTGTCATTACTCTATTATAATATTAATGTATATTTCCATGATAATTTGAAATGAGAATCTGTTCAGAATACTAGTAGTTCTATTGAGATCAGCTTTGAGAAAAATATAGCAATCCTATTTAGGTAATTGATTGGCTGTGACTCATCAGATAGGTGTGTAGAGATGGTGTGCTAATGATAGACAAATCAAAACATGCAACTGGTATGTACATTATGTACGACTTTGTCACTAGCCATACCTACAGTCCATTGCTTACATTTTCAAGTTTTTATAAGCCGTAATCGCTGCCTAACAACAAAAGCTTAATAAGCAGATGTAAATCTTTTTCACTCGTAACAGATGTTATAACACAACACGCGATATTAAAAATAAACCTTCCATTAATGATAAAACACTTGCATGAAGATATTAAATATATTATGGTTTCTCTTGAGCATACTTTTTTCTAGCACATGTTTCTCAAGACGAAGGTTGAATTATTCTCAATACGTATAAAGGTTATAAAAAGGTTGAGTTTAAGGACACGGGGTCACGAGAGCACATCCATGCAGTACACGACTAACATTGTAACAATGACGGATCACGTTTTCAGACGGAAAGTCTCTTGTGTGACGCTCACAAAAACAGTAAATGTAGGCATATAAAACTAAATCAATTGTAATGTTTTTGTCACGTCACCATATTTGTCATAACCTTGTCAAGGGCGGCACGTAAGATAGATCACAATAGATCCAGCTGTTGTCAATACAGGTAATTATCAACGAACGTGAAAAATTCATGTCTACCTTGTCACGTAAATTAGCTTTGGGAATACAAATGAAGTTTAAGGCGGTATTTTCCAACGAAACTACCAAATACGTAATATACACGTAGATACCCGTGGGAGTGTAGCGGGTTGCGTGTCAGGGAAATCTGCTTTACAACAGGAAATCGGAGTAAACCGGTTCCATATTCACAAAACCTGCGATGACGCCATTTTGGATTTTCTGGAAACATGCATGGCCACATGCCACGAAACATATGTTACATTTGCGATCTTAGCAAAATTCACTATTCCCAACTTTTGACACAAAAACAAAGCAAAACTGTAAGTACTTACCCGTACAACTCAAATTAGACATAAACACTCCGAAATGTTAAAAATATAAAAACAAGAAAAGTAGCAGCTGAAAGGCTGTGCTTCTCCCACGTTTGTTAGCTCCGTAAATCTTCACTGGTAGTCGTCGTAATCTAGAACGTAAACGATAAAATAACCAACATTAATATCAAATAAACATCAACAAATACTTCTACATGTGAAATATCGAGAAAGTAAACGAAAATACGCATAAAATTCAACAGACGTGGCAAGCCAAACTGGCCACACATACATTTATGTGATCAGGATCACAATCTATATTGCGCAAGTCGTGGGTTTCTCCCCTGAAGTCCCGGATGTCAATATTTTTTTCTCCGCTAGCTACGTGCGTGGGGGCGTCATTCACATTTCCAAACACAATTTTAATTCAATTCATAGATAGCCATTGAACACTATTTTTCATTAGAGTGACGTTTTTTGTTATTTTATAGAGACTTTATAGTGTTAGTGTTATCTGTTTTAACATTTTATTGTATTTTTTATATCTGTATTTCTTGTTATTGTGTTGTTGTTGTTTTTGATTATTGACCATGGTTAATGTATTCCCAATTCATTAATTTGAGTCAAATAAAATATACTATACTTTATTTCCAACGAAGATCGTGTGCGATACGAGTTTGTTTTTTATTTCTATCAATGGAAATTTTGTGTTCTTGACTGCGTTCCCCAAACTCCAAAATCAAAGAAAGCTTAGAAAGAACTCCCGTGTGCTGAGAGTATTGAAGACACATTAAAAATTAATTCAAATTACTTGTACATGAGATATTGATGGAAAAGTTGAAAACTAATTATGTAAATCAGGTAACTATTCTGAACAGAACAGAACAAAACAATTATGAATTATTATGCCAATTAGAGAATTAATATGAACAAATTTTAACCCAAAATTAATCAGGCCTGTCTATTGTCCTGGAGCATTTATGTACCAAATTTTATTTAAATGTGATAATCAGTAATTGAGATATCAGTGTTAATTAATTATGTTAATTAGGTGATTAATAAGCATAAATATTTACTAAAAACTAATTGGGTCTCTGCATAGTTCTCTTTAAAAGTTTCATTAAAATCCAATTCGTGGTTCTTTATATATCAATGGAACATTCATGCAAATTAGGTAATTAATATCCAATTAAAACTAATCAGGTCTCTGCATA